GCTGTATGTTCAGCCAAAAATTCAATTAATTAAAATAATATAAAAAAAATTTTAATTGTTGCAGTTCACTACTGTTAACAGACTTAATATATTCTTTTTGAACTGTGTGGACATGAAAATAAATAAAGCATTTATTGCATATTTAGTTTCACACAAAAGGTATCAGTTGTTAGCGAATCTGTGAATATTGTTTGTAAAGTTTAGCAGACAAATTAGCTATAATGTATCTAGAATACTAATGCCGACTTCGCATGAGACATGCCACACCTACTCTTTGGAGAAACAAGGAAGTGTAGAGAAAACGAAGCATATTAAATATAAATAATATTAAACAAAGGAGCGGTTAATAAGCAATAAACCGGCATTGAGGATTTTGAACTTGTGTGAAGCTCAACAGCTTACTTTGTGTCGCCTTACGCTTCTTATTGTTATTCTCTGTAGCAATAAAAAAAGTTAAATGTACGGAATGTTGAAAGTTAAGTCAACACGTGGCTAAGGTTGCATATTAGGGGAGAGGATAGTGTTAAGTGACGTTTTATTATCACAAAAAACTTTCTTACGTTCAATGCTTATAAATTATAGATACTTCTTTGTATAATAACGTATTCAGTGGTTAATATGAAAATTGCTTCTTCTGTTGGAAGTAACTAATCAGGCGCACATGTACTTTATGAAACTCTTAACAAATTAAATGAATTTCAAATCACAAAAAATAAATACATCTTAAATTTAGCAGCAATAATATTGTATTAAATGTAACTGCAAATTTTTATAATATTTAAATTAAAGTAATGGCTTCAAAAGTATGATTAATATGGGTAAAATATACAAACTATTTAATTACGATTCATTAATTTCACTAAATGCTTCTTTCCAATTTTTTCTTTTTTAAAAATATTGTTATAGATACTTTCCCTTGTCATTATTCGAAATGTAAATAAAATTGAACGTGACCTTTTTTGATATCAAACTATTTAAAACTAATAGCTCATATATAATATATACATTTAAACAAATACGACACAAGTTTCAATTTACAGTTCTAAAAATATGAAAGAATAGAACAACCGAAAAATGAGAAAATATCATATAAAATTAAGAAAAAGTGTTTGTTAATAGCAATAAAAAACGAAACAAAAATGTTGAAATAAAATTCAAAACACATTTTTCAAAATAAAAGTATGCACTTTATCCTCAACAGCACATCTTCGGACCCGTCATCACTACATATAACTTTTAGTTGAAAACAAAAGGAAGTGTACAAACAACATTTAAAAAAAAAGAATTTCAATAAATTAGTATAAATGTATATATATTATTATTAAACTATCTAATCACAAATTTTAACATTAAATATATTCATACAGAGATGCGACGAGAAGTCTTGTTTTTTGTGACGGCACGAAGCCAGTCGTCTTTCAATCAATGCGACACAAAATATAGTCTTCCTGCCGAAGCAGTTAGGCATTGGTGTTTTTTATTGCGCATTCAATACTTTTGTCAATTGCTATTGAGTTTGGGTCACCATACAATAAGTCCTGCTATTGCACGTCTTCACACTTTTGTGATCTACCAGAGCGTCTTTCACATAGACATCAACTCTTTTTATTTGTCGAAACCTGTTCTAATCGATGGAATGGTTCACCATATGTTTTTACCACTGAACGATGACTTTCAACAGTCTTTTCCTTTTGATTAAATAAGAAAAACAATGCATGCTGTAAATGCTTTTTTTCAAGCACAAGATTTGACATGATCACCAAACGATAAAGCAAATACTTATAAAAAAATACTTACAAAAAAAATCTAAATAATCGCAACAATAACGATGTTGTTTTGCGCATTATAGAAGATTATTTGTATATGCAATATTCACTTAAGCGGTTAATGCGAAAAAGTAAATTTTTCGTTGCAATTGAATTATTAAAAATTAATGTTTTGTAATTTAACTGTTGTTTTACAAACATAACTTCTTTTGTGAATGATGTACCAACAAGTAAATAACTACACTTAATAAAAACATTTTTAGCAAATAATGAAACTCTCAAGGTGTCATTTTTCTTCACATTTTTAAAACGTATAGGAATCCTTTAATAGTTGAGTTCAAAAACCACTTATATCTTTAAATTAAATATAATGATTTTAATTTGCATTAATTTATGAATTAATATCATAAATGCTGAAAACGCTTTACTTTCTTTTATTTAATTTACAAAACGAATAAACATTTTTGTTGATAATGACGTATTTCTTAAAATACTGTTCGAAATCATTTTTTGTACTTGAAATTGATAAATAACCATAGAAATCGCGTGCTCCTGAACTCACTTTCTAACCTAACTACGTTCTCGGCAGCAATACAACCACCACGAAACAAAAAAGCATCCTAGGGTAGAAATGAAATGCTGTATATATGTATACAAATATACACCCGACCCATTCAAAAAAATATGCAAGAGCAGCTTAATTCAAGGATAGCAATAGAAAAATCTATTCATGGGGGAGAAACTTTAAAAATAATCGATAAAAAGTACAAAAGTTATTGAAGCTTCCGCAAATAAAATGCACTCAACAGGAAAAGGAAATTGATATGTTTTTCTTTCGACATAAAAATGCATTTAATAATAAAAGGAAATTGATTGTAAATAATGCTGAAATGAAATAAATTATAATTTAAATTAATAGAACTGAAATTAAATCACATAATTTTCTGTAATTTTTATATAATACACAATGAAAATAAGAAGGGCTACTATTTAAAAAATGGCTGTCTGCTAAAGATACTACGCATAAGAAAGAAGTTGTCTTTCTTCTTTCCAGCTTGAATCGTTCTCCAAAAAGCGCATGTGGAGCAAAACATTTTGTTTAAAAATTATTCAAAAGACAACTTTTTTAAAGAATCTGTACTTTAAATACGTTTAAATTACAAATTTAACAAACAACACAACAAAATATACCACAAAATCAATTTTAATCTAGAATACTCTCCAATAAAATACTTCCGAGGTGATTAGATAATTCAATCCTCTAATATAACTTATTTCAAGTTAATAACATACACCCAATTGGCTTTTAACTGTCTTTATTTTTTTCACTGTCTACTAATGTGCAATGGGTTCTCTTATAAAGGACCCGATAACGTCAGCTTAATTCTTAGAATTGCAAATAACATTCAAACAGGAAATTTATTTCAAATTTATTCAAACGAAAGAGTAAGACATATTTGTATAAAAGAAATTATAAAGAAGTGGTGTTACATGTTTAAAAAGTCATACGAAGAATGAGAACCAATGTGCAAATCTTCAAACCATAACTTAAAATAATGTTCATTTTGGTAATATCGTATATCACTACCATTTTCCACGACACCACCAAATTAGTTATTTTTCGTGAGGCAGATAAGAGATTATGCACATCTTATAATTTCACATTTAATGATTCATAAGTATCAAGCGGATTGTTCAGCTTTCCGCAGACGTTGCATATGGCTGGTCATTAGATCTTATAGGTAACCCAGTTCGTTTGGAAACTTACAATGTGATTATTTATTTGATCTTATTCTAAGTACCTCATTTCATTATGCATTAAATAATACCTATGCGATTATTTGATTATGTGATTATGGATTGATCTTATTCTAAGTACTTCATTTTATTATGCTTCTTGGTGTTATAAACCATATGCATTCAAGAATATGTTTTACATTTTCAATTTAGTTATGTTAAAATTGACGGAAGGGATCAAGTATCTGCCTATATTAATATGATAAAAGTTACGTAAGTTGATAGTTGTTATTTTTTTTATAATAAAATTGGACAGTTGAACCATTGTCAGATGTAATGGTCGACGTTATCGAAATTCAACAATAAAAGTACTACTTAGCTGCTTCAACTAAGGCGTAATCTGATCAGCACTACGGTATTAGTGCTGACCGGTCACTGCATACTAGGAAGATATACTATGCCATTTAGTCTACCATATAAATACATTTGTCATGGATAAGAACGGATAAGAAGGAAACTGTACGCGATCTCATGTGTCAGTCTAGGCCTGAGAGAGCCGTCGTTCTACAAATTTAGAGACTTGACCAAGTTTATAGACTTAACAGGTTGGTTCACTTTCACTTGAAGTTGGATTCGTGACTTTCAGCGTTGTTCGCAGGCTAACCTCAACTCTGGGTTTAAACAAAGCTATTTCTTAGTATCATAACAGGCCATTTCTTGAGCTGAAGTGTGCGAAACTATACAACTCATTAAAACTATAATAATAATAATAGCAATAGTAATTATTTACAAAGCCGTCGGTATGAATATCTTTAGTTAAATAGTTCATGTGATTAAAAAATTTTTAAAAAAAATTTAATTATTAAAAAAAATTCTGATTGAAGAACTAAAGTTTATAAAATTTTAATTATGTTTAATATTTTAAATTAAATATGTTTTACTTATTTTCAACTAATTTTTGTAAAAAAATCAACATAGAACAAAAACATTTCCAGCAATGACAAAAAGTTTAGTAACAAAATTACAATTTTTTTATTTTATGTCGTATATTGGACACTTATAGTATTAGTCACGCTATTTTAAAGATTTTATTCGCATATTACAGATTAAGCGGCGCTTGCAACATTTTAAACAGAAAAAACGTACGAACAAAGAAAATATCGAGCAAAAAACAGGCACTGCATCAAACAATGAAATTCAACGCAATTGAAATTTAATAATTTTGTAATATAATAACTTTTTAACAAAACAGGTTTCTCCATAATTTATGTGGGACACAAGATAAAGTGAGGAAGAAGTACAAGTAAATCTGTGGTGAAGTCAGGTGAAATAAAAATACTTATTATGATAAGACAAACAATAAAATGTGTATTAGCTTTGAATTATTAAAATATTGCTTATAACAAAGGAAGAAGTGCAAAGAATACATATTTTACCAAAAATATACTTTTTATAAAAAAAAAAAAAAAACTCTTTTTAATATTCTGCAGATATCACCTTCACTTCACTAGAATTTTCAATGACGAATTAAGTAACAACAGCGTCTTGGCCACATTGCAGCCGAATGTTAACTACAATAACAACAATTATATAAAAATCGATAACTTTTATTAACTCAGCTGCAGGCAGATGCTGTGTAAATCAAGCCAACGACTAGACCAGCATATGTTTAAAATTTAAAAACAAAATATACAAAAATATGAAAACAAAGCGAATATATGTGCATATACATACATATAAAACAAATTTCACACAAACCATTTTAATGAGTCAATATCGACGACATTAAAGCACGAGTGTGACTGTAAAAAATCAATAATTCTTATTTTTAAACAAGATATTCCTAAATAAAACATATGCTTCAAATTACCTTACACTAACTTTTATTGACTTGTTTTTAAATTCCATTCTTTGTTTAAACAATGTGTTTTTATGAATCAGTATATTACACACAAGCAAGGGACACAGAAATAGTTTCGTTTTATTAAAACTTCAATCTAAGTTTTTTCATTCAATATTTCTATGCACTCAGTTTTACAGAATTTAAGAAGAAATAATTTTGAGCTAAACCGGTAACACACACTTCACAAAAAATACTAAACTCTACTGAATCTGCATTTGTTTATATGAAGTCTAGTTATCCACAGCGGCAATATATCTCTGCAAAGTGTGTCGATTGTTCTCCAATTCATATTATTTCTCTACGCTTGCAGGAAAATAAACATAAACAGCTGTTAGTGAAGTAAATAAAGTCAGCTGGAAGAGTAATCATTGCAGTGATGCATTAGAACAAGCTACGTTAAAATCGTAATGAAAAATAATTCTGTTATTATGAACAGCATATACAAGAAAATGTATAATAAGTCAGATATTTGAATTAAGCTTAATTAACTTGTGTTTTGACAAAAAAAAATTTGCTTGTGTTGTGTTAGAAGAAGCAGATTAGGAACATAAACGTAGTTTTTCGATTCACTTTTCGAAATCGAAAAAGTTGGCAGGATTCAAAAACATCACATGGCGTTTTCGGTGGCTCGCAAATGTGAAAAAAATACATGCTGTCCTATATTCGCTAAACGAGACATTGGCATCACTGTTGCAATCTGTCAAGTATGGCGAAGAACAGTATACTGACCAAAATGTACGCAAAACAATAAAATTATTTTCTCTATAGGCCTATTCGGGGGCTCGCAAGTACGACAAAACAATAAGTTGCTGGCCTATGCAGGCCTATACTGGCCGCAATGTACGCAAAACAACAACACTATTTTCTCTACCTCGGCCAGCATAGTTATGCTGGACAACCACATCGGCCAGTAAAAAAAAAATGTTACCAACGCAATAAGCGAACTATTGTGAACCTTCATTGAAAATTCCAATGAATAGTGCAATCAAATGTCAAAAATTGAGGAAATAAAAATTCAAACAGAATTCAAAAATTTGAAAAATCTTGAAAAGTAACGAATAATAAGAATGAAGAAATCGTAAGTATTAAGCACATTGAATTTTTTATTATGTTAGTTATTACCAAGTAACATTTATTTTATTTCATTTAATTTGTAGTTTGCATACGTAAAATTAATAAAACAAACATAATTTTTGAATTTTTGTGAAAATTTTTTTTTAGAAATACACGCAAACTATGGACCACAAAGGAAACGAAGTGTTTTCTAGAGTCCTACTTGACACGAAAGGAAGGATTTTTGGAAACCAGAAAAAAAAGACTTGAATATCAACATGTACTTGAGGACATGATAGCACATGGAATTCGTGAAACAAAAAATCCGTGAAACAACTTACGTCTCTCGGCCACTGCAAAACGTTGTTTTCTTCTCCCAACATCGACAGTACCTACAAAAATTTACTTAACTTAGTGTTTTATTTTTAAATTTCCAATATTCTTACCATTCCTTTTAATTCCGTGTTCATTTTAATTTTATAATATTTTTATAAAAATATATTTGATTTATATGCACATATACAAGATTTGCTGTTTGCCAAAACAAAACATTTGACAGATTGCAACAGTGATGCCAATGACTCGCGTGGCCAACATAGGCCAACATGCATTTTTTGCCGTACTTGCGAGCCACCGAAAAGGCCTTATATAGGCCAGTAGTCATATACTTGCCACACACTTCGATCAAAAGTGTTACCAACGCAATAGAGGAACTATTGTGAACTTTAATTGGAAATTCCAACGAATATTGCAAACATATGTCAAAAATCATATGCAAACAAAAATTTAAACAAAATTTAAAAAATTCGTAAATTTGAAAATTGGGAAAAAGGAAAAAATCGAAATTTTCAACATTTTTACTATTGCTTTCAATTTTTTATTCATTTTAATTTTCAATTTATATTAGGGGTATTCAGGCAACTGATGAGTTGCTTAGTAGTTGATTATAAAAAAAATTTGCATACAAAAATGAAACTAAGCAGAGAATTGACTATTTCAGAGATTCTCAGATTAGTGAAAATTTGATTAATAGTGCTGCCATTACCAAGTGTCGGCGCTATAAGCATAGGGTGTCTTAAAAAGAAAATGCAGAAATAATAACGTAAATTAATAAATAAAATTCAGTAAAACTATAATTTTTAAAGGGTTAATATATAATCAAAAAATATAAAATTGAATATTCTACTTCTTGGTATATGACACGATTGCAATTTTAGTTATATGATAAATTTAAATGAGCAAGTGATTAACAACAAAATGCTAAATTTTTTTTATATGAAGTTTTTGAATCAACTAAACAGTTGCCTGAATAGCGAACATAGGCCACCATGCGTTTTTTGCCACACTTGTGAGTGTGCTGAATACTTTCAATTTCTGTGCTCTGCTCTACTACACACAAGCATTTTATACGTTTAAACAAAACAAAACATATTTTAGGCTTATGACAGTTCATGACAGTGTAAACTGAACTGACAGTTCATGCTGTCGTCAAGTTCATCTCACGTTCATGATAGTGAAAATAGGCCCATTCAATTAATGAAAACGTAAATATTATTAAATACTTTCAGAGCACTTTTGTTTACAGCTCAATTATTGTTTGTTTACATTTTACATAAAAAATATTGAACATATATTTCAAAAATTTATTTTTAATAGCAGCCTTTTTTCGTTTTAATGAGTAGATTTTTTTATAATGAAATTATTCATAATTATAAAATCTCTCTGTATGGTAAATAATCTTCAAGAGCAGGCTTATTTAGGAAATTTAATCAGCAATAAAACAGAAAGCTAACAAGCAACAAGCAAATATTCGAGCTAAAATTCATATTACCCCAAATTGCCATAAGAATTCGCAATTATTTTAAAATCAATTATTGTGAATTGTTCATATTTGACAACAAAAAACGCGCGATTTTTATACATTTAATGACGCCTTTTACCATTTGTTAAAAAGGGAATACAGTATTTGCAGACAAATACACCAAAAAATTTTTTTCCGCACATACAATTTTTGCGACAAAGCGCATTCCGTGACAATCTGTTAAACGAGTTGAATATTGGTTTCAAATAATAAATTTGTTAATTTTATAAGATAATTACACCATATTGTAAGGTATGTTTGTTTTACATTCATCATGAATTTATTTGTAATTATTCGTTCGATATTTATAATTAAAAATTGTGTTATAAGAAGTACTTTATTATATGAAATTTGCAAATTGTGCCTGTATTTAATACTTAGCTTTTGTATATTTTGTAATATTCTAATTTAAAATATGTTTGTTATAAAATATGATTAATATGAGCGCGTTTTTATTTTCTTTGTAAAGGCGCAAGTTGAATGAACTGCAGAATTTTGCAATCTTGTGGGCTTTATAAATTTGCGGCGTCTCTTAACACGTGCGGGTGTGCGTTTTCGCGTTAATGTTCGTTTTGCATTACAGAAAAGCACGAGAAGTTGAATTATTTTATTTACCAATTTGTATTTCCTTATTGCAATATATGTTATATATTTAATACTTCTAATTGAACTCTAACAATTGTTTAATGCAGAAAAATTGCTAAGTGTCAATTACAGCAAGCGTTGAATATTGTTTTCTAATGCATTTCATTTTTACGTTTTCTCTATATAATTTATTTATTACTTTAAAAATATTCAAGTTATTCTTTTTTTTTAATTATTCACAAGTCTGGATTAACATACTACATATGAACTTTATTTTGGTGTTGCATTTTGGCTCCGCATCGGAGCCAATTTGTTTGTTTAGCTGGAAATTTTTTTTTACCTTTTTCCAAAACGTTGCAAAGCAAAGTTCGTTTACATCTGGCCAAAAATGTTATTGAACCATTTTGACTTAATAAATTTGTATAATGTTTTTACTTATTTTATTATTGTAATCCATCATTAATATTTCTAAGACCGGACCGCATGTATTATTATACTCCTCTAATTCTTGCGGATAAGTATAGGTGTCGTAGACTATAAAATCACATTAATTTATTTTATATCAATTCTGTTAGTAAACTAGTATATCTGTTTTCAGTATATTGATCTGTCATTAAACTACTATATTAGTTTTTAAGCAAATATCATGTTCATGAATTGACTTAATAAGCCCGAGTGCTTGTTAGTCTAACAAACAAGCAATATTAATAATTTCTATGTGGAATTTTTGTAAATCTATGTAAATGAACTCAATAAACCGATCAAATTGTTTGAGGATATCGTTTAGCATTTATACAAAATTTCTGCTTAAAATAAACTCATGTCTTAAAATATATATCTGAGTTGAATTGATATATGAATCAGAAAAAAATGAATGCAGGTAAATATAGTCGAAGTCGTATATAATGAAGCTATCGGGGACCTGCAAACGTTTCGTCATAAAGAACCTTTCTTTCTACAGAGACCAGAATAAATTTTTTTTACATAGAAATATGTAGTTGTTCTAAAAATATATTTAATTAAAATTTATTCCCTTTAATATAGAGAATATTCTTAAATTAACAGAATATGTTGTTAATGGCCAGTTTCTTATGTTAAATTATATTTGTATTCTAGACTAATCTGATTTTATTTTTCCAACGTTTCGTAAATATTTTTTAGCATCTTCAGGGATACATTATTTTCTTTATATTTACATAAATTTCGTCAAAACTCGTTCAGAATGTATCTTTAGTCAAATTGTTCTCTTGTTTTGTAGGCGAGTGTTCGCAAATTATAGTGATATTAAAGAATTGTCTCTTCATACGGATATTACCAAGCGTTTTGTTCACTAATGTGAACAGCTAGAAAAAAAATTTAAAATATTAAATAATATATAATAATTCGTTATATATAATTTTCTTTTAAATAAAAATAGTCCCTTTCTAACCATAAAACTGAATACAAATTCACATCTATTTGCATTGTAACTGTAGTAGATCTTACAGTTTCCTGTTTTAGAGCAGTTTTGTTCTGTCCTTTGCCATTTCCTGGATGGCCGCTGATTTTACGAGGCGGGTACCAAAGCCTATGCACAACTTTAAATTAAAATCATCGGGATAGTAATAAGGCTCTTTGTGTGCACTATTAGCTAATTTGCCCAGTGGGTGCCAGGTAACTATCTGGTAGCACTATGCAGTGGTATAACAGTATCCAACTTGGATTAAGGACAACAATTATTGCGCTGGCATATTGTACGTTAAATGCGATCAGATGAGTTGCGTCGTGATTTCGCTCCCAGAGAATCGCGAAAATATAATTTTTTGTTTAATTTATTTGTAAGCATTTTTGTTGTTGAAATTTGTATAAAAATATGATTGTTGTTGTTTTGTACCCAGCCGGGATCTGAAAAGGGAATTGGATAGGTGGAGTTGGAGTTAAGGAATAATGGGAAAGGAAATGGAGAATAGAGAAATAAGATTGAACTTACTGGGCTCTACCCTCTTTTTTTTCATTTTATGTAAGAAATATACTAAAAAAGTAAGAATAATAAACAGCATCGAAAATGCATATATTCTTACAGTGAACATTCTCGTAACGAACTCTGTTTTGAACCCATTTGAGTTTATTTTTCCAAGTCCATATTTTTTTATAATTATTAGAAATGATTTTACCCATTGCGTTAAACCCGATTATAAAAACTTTTTAGATTAATATTAAATTACTTTCGTTTATTTAAATATTACAATTTTGAATTTTTTAAGGCAAAGCGTTTACATAAAATAACAGTTTTTTTATTTGTATTATGCAGTGTTCGTGTCATAAAAACACAAATTAAAACTCAAAATAAAATTTACTTAACATAATTATTTTCTGATTATGCTTGATTTGCTTTAAATAGGGCTGACTAATATTTTATAGGTCTTTAATGATATTATTTGTAAGAAGTTTCGTTTGTTTTAAATAACTAAAAAATTGCAATATATTGAATAATTATTTCAATAAATTGTAATAAAAAAAATTGTTTTAATTATTGAGTATTTAAGCGTAGTTAGATACATTTTATATAATCACAATAAATAAATTTGTATTAATGTGTTTAATTGATAAATAATATCATTTTAAATTAAATATATTATTGAGTCATATTCATAGAATGTTATATTCTGAAGAATTATAAGGAGTGATTTAAGACTATGAAATGCAATATCTATTTTTTTATTTAATCAAATCTTGACGGCTTACGATATAAAGCGATATAAAAAAGTCTTATATACAAACGAAGAAATTTGGGTTGATATTAAGATTTTAAAAACGGCTAAAGTGGGCTTATCTGGAGTTACCCAAAGTATGGTCACACTTTTCGAAATAAAAAAGAATTAAATTAAAAGCACATATAGCAGAGATACATAGATGCCATTGGTAACTCGTTTTAAGAAAAACTGATTCACTAAGGTCCTAAAAAGTGGTCCCTTTGTGAGATTCAAAGTCTCCATAAAAAATGTAGTGAAAATTGGTAATAAATGCTAATATATATTACTTAAAGCAAACAAAATAGCAATATTAATAAATGTGATATAATATAAAAATTTTAAAGACAATTACTCGTACTTCCATTAAATAATACTGCTAATTGGTGCTAAACTCAACTGATTTTATTTATAGCAATAAATTAGTTTTACCAATTTATATACAATGTTAGACAATTTTAATATATTTAAAATGCTTATATTTTTAAAGCTGAATAGGTTTATTTTAATAGGTAGGGAACTATCTTATATGATTGTGTGGGTTAGTGCCTGTTCTGAAAAGCGGCGTATAGTATTACTCTGCTAAATACTAATTGAAGTGACTACATTCTGAATGTTTTGAAAAGTGGTTAAAGAGTTTTAAATACATATCTGCGCTTGTCTACGTACATTGTTGCAAAATAATTAGAGGATATTAGAGAGAAAATGTGTACCAAATATATAATTCTTTACCTTCTAATAACGATAATAAAGAATTCCGTATGAAGAGATGATAATTAAGGATTTGTTAGGAAGTGCATTTTATGTGCTCAAATTGTTTCAAAAAAAAAATTTATTGAATTGCTTAAGAGAAACTTTTTATAATAGACAAAGAATGAATAGTTAATAGTCAAGAAAATAATTCTTATAGAAATAACAAATATGTATTATAAAACTTTGAAAAGATTGATGTAAATACCAATGACAGCATATCTCGTGAGAGACGCGCCTCACTTAGGCTTTCGAAAGTTAGTCTATTGATTGAGAAAAAAGACAAATGTTAATTTAATTAATGTTTTCTGAGTGTGTGAATTTGTTTCTATAGCCTTTATTGGAAATAATTTTTTATTGAGAGCAAAATTTTTTATACTTAGTTATAATTCAAAAAGTATACTAAATCGTTCAGTTAAACTGGTGTTATTAATATAAAAATGTATATAAATTAAATTTCCGTCTTAGTGTAGATTACCGTTTTTAAACTATATAATAAGTGTATATATATATATTGATGTAAAATATGTTTTTAAAGGACATAACTATAAGGCGTAAATTCAATATATTTAATTTTATAAATTGTTTCAATAAAAGCTTCAGAATAATCAAGGCAAGCACTTTGGTTCTTGGAAAGGGTTTACATTGATAAGATTTTGATGTATAAATTTTATAAAATATTTCGCATACGTAAAATTTATTAGCAATCTATTTAGTAAATGTATATAAGTCTATAAAGAAAACATATATTATATATGCAATTAGAAAATATTTTAGTTATAAACAAGCTTATTTTTTATTTATTTTGTTGTAATAATATTTAGTATTTGTTGCGAAAGATAAATACCTTTTTAATGCACCCATTAATGTATAAATTTTAACATAAATATCTACATTGATTACGTATGTGCACGAGTTACATATATACATACATTCCTTGTATTCATTTATTTAATTTTACACATATAAATATATTTGCAACAAATTTTTTTGATTTATTTTTAATTCAATGATTTGCATACATGTATATCATTTTAATATAGTTATATATGTATACGTTAGTTTTTATTTTAATTATTCCCTTTTTTGTTTTTAAATTTTACTAAATCATGAGTGCCGAAAACGGATTATATCGCATAATTTTTGATAATAATATCCATAGAACTGATGTTATGGCACATAACACAACACCACCCCAACCTAGGTCCAAACTCCATGATGTTAAAAAAATGCGAGCACCCAGAAGTGGTTTTGCCATTATAGCGACACCTCCTGGTCGTGCTACAATTCCATCCACTGTGCCATCATAATCACTGTCAAGCATAGGACGTCCTTGTTGTCGTTTAAAATGTATGATCATAAGTGTAAAAAGTGCAAAAAGAGCTAAAAAAAAAGTATTAGAGTGATAAATTATATACGTAAATAAATTAATACATTATTAAATGATATTCTCAATAACAAAAATTTTTACCGGCTAATAAATACATGACTCCAGTGATAAGTATTGCACTTATTTGACGTTGGCAAACGCCAAAGGCGCCGACTAATGCAGCGCTTCCCAATATAATTAGGCATACCAAAGAGCATGAAATCGAGAGATTTTGCATTCCTACAAAATTCAAATGAGTCGTTAAAATATTTAATTTTTAAAAAAACATTCCTTTAAATTCAAAATTTTAATGCAAAAAATAAAATAGAATAATTTTAAAATTTGTGTATTACGATATTAAATATCAAAGGAGTAAAAAGTTGCAGTTAGACATAAATTGCTATTAAATAATTTAAAGCAGTGTAAATTAAGAAAATTAAATTATTTATAGGTGCACAAAACTCTGTAATACATGCTAATTATGATCAAACTAAAAAAATTTTAATTTTTAAAATGATAGTATCAAAAATTAAATTATTTTCATTTTAAATAATTTTAAAAATAATTGTTCAAAATGTTGAACTTTATATTTTTGTATTCAATGAAATATGCAGCAATGTTACTGCGAGGTGTCGCATAATTGAACTTTGGATATAAGTCTGAGTTTTCTTTAGTAATCGGGATCTTCTTATCTTACTGCAGCTGATCTATAATTTAATAGATCTTTTCTGTAATAGACTGATCCTTAATAGGCATCTTAACGTCCAAATTTTTTCCAATATTTTAGTAATCATTGTTTTGCAATAACTTTTAGGAGGAAGCATTTATTTCAATAAAATATTTTTCAATAATCAAAAAGAATAATTCTTTTAAAGTTAAGTTAAACATTGAATATATCCTTTGCAAGTACACTTATTTCCTTGTTATGTTATTTTGTAATCAAAAGCAACTGAAGAAAAAAGTAGGTATATAAAAAGTATTTGGTCACATAAATACATTACATATTTCAGTTAGGTACATGTATACCGATATAATTTACAACAAAATATAACGGATCAAACAGCAAAAACATACTCATGCGTCACAACGTACAAACATGGTTGCTACTTATAGTATTTAATACTGATTTTAATAATATAAATAAAAAGAAATATAAAGTAAAATTTTGTGAAATATAGATTAGTGTTTCTGAACCCAAAACATATATTAAAAAATGATCAATGTGTTTTGCAAAGACTGCTGGTAGCATCAATATTTTCCCAAAAAATAATATCTTAAAAGACGAAAATATTTTAAGGGGTCCGGTACTGTTTTTGCGGACCGACAGCGGTTAAAAAACGCTGATTAAGATCGTACAAAATGTTTTCTATTTTAATAAAAATTATAAAAAGATAAAACAGAAAAAAAATTTTATTAGTAAAAAAAATATACCGTAATAAATAAGTTCATAATTCAAAATATGAAATTTACATTTGGAAACCCATCCATTTATAATTAAATAAATATCAAATTATCTAAAAGCTTCTTATTTCTTAATTTTTTGAAGTTTTTGAATTTCTGAATGTGAAAGTGTCCAATTCAAAATAAAATGAGGGATACTACAATATACTACAGTTAAAAGATATTAAAATACTTAAAGTGAAGATCGAATGTTACAAATATTTAATACCCAAAATATAAATGTTTCACTATTTCGACCAAATATTTTTTTAAATTAAAAAAATTAATAAATAATAATAAATTCCTTTTTTAACTTCTAAATATTTATCGTTTCTAGATTCTTTAATGGTTAGATAGTTCTATTTCAAAGCTTATAATACAATTAAGGAATAATAATACAAAATTAATAAATAAAAAAATTTGAAGCAGATAAAAACTTTTTGAAATCATGCAAAATTTTTTAATTCGTCTTAAAATCATTATTTGTGGTACAACCTACTTGGATGAAAAATGCCATGAACATAACTATTCATTGGTTCCAAAATGTTTTGTGTAATTAATTGAATTAATTTAAATTGTATTTGCATGTAAAAGTATTCTTCATTTAAGTTGCCATTTGTGAGAGTACAAATTTAGATCAATGAATGAGTGTAAGATTCTTGTAATTCCTTTCATATCAAATTTTCGCCAGCTAGAAATTGCACAAATCCAGGCTCTGAGAAGACTTTTCCAGGTACCATGGTACATTAGGACGAATGACATCCTAAGGGACCTCAAGATTGATCCGATCAAAAAATACATAAAGGATAGAGCCCTGGAATTATTTACGAAAACTGACAGGCTTACCAACACCGCGTTATCGACTTTCAGAATGTTTACAGGCTCCTCGGGGAGGTATGCAGATCTGAGGTCAGTTATTGTTTAGTATGATGAAGTGATAAACAATAATCCAGCCAAGGCGTAGAGAGAGGTTACGAAGAAATATTGCAGTTAATAGAGAGTAAAAGTGCTCAAGTGCACTGACTGAACTAGCCTCAACATAATAATAAATTCTTGAACATATTGAACATTAGATGATTATTAATCGAATCTTATGAAATATAAATATTTTTAAATTAAATGAGAAAAATTGTTGTAGAATTATATACATATATACGCAGTAAATTATACTAATGTTAACCCATTAAATAAAAAATTGAAAATTTTAATATGCGATAGGTTATGGCTATGATTCTGTGTAATCATTTTTTTGTTAGATTGTTTGAAATCTTAGTTGTGTGCTTTCTTCCTACTAGCGATTCCGAAAAAATGTTATGAATTTTGTTTTAAAACAGGACTGTTTTGAACGACCGATTCTTTTGTCAGATTATAAATATTATTGTGCTCTCCTCAGAAGTGCCAACTTAAATGAAAAACACTATTTGTTTTGTATTTAAAAAAAATTAATTTTTTGTAAATCTATCTATATTAAGAATTCTCTTTCTCTCTCTCAACACAGTATTCTTTTATACTAGATATCGTATGTTACATTTTTCTTCTCTGACATTTATCTCATTTATATAAAATTTTGTTTTAATTTTTTTATTGTAATTTTTTTTTTATTTTTTTTTTGTAATTTATTTTAATTTTTTTTATTGTTTGTTTATTTGTTTAAGTTTGTTTTATTTATTATCGATATACTATAAAATAATTTTAACCGTTCTTTAGATTAGAAGTTTTAAACACATAAAAATTATATTTAAGAAAGTATTTTATTTCTATTAAAAAATTGTGGCTTGAAGCCTATTTAAAATAATTTTAACCGATCTTTAGATTATAAGCTTTAATACAAATAAAAATAATATTTCAGTAAATATTTTATTTATATTAAAAATTTATTGACTTGAAGCCCATTTAAATAATTTATAACGTATAATAAAAAGGTCAATGATAATTATAAATTATATATTACACGTTAATATTATCATACGATATGAAAATATTGGTAATATAAATATTTCTTTCAACCAGCGTTCGTTCATATAAGTTCTATACTTCAAAAGTATTACTTTGCATAAAAAAAATAATATATATATTATTTCGGTTTCAGCTAAGTTTAATTTATAATTGAAATGTCTGCCGATGAACAAATTCCTGCACCTGCCACTACGGAGGAAATTGGCGTTGACCACGAACGCAATGAAAAAATTTTAAAAGGCAAAGAACTTTATAGTAATGGTTCTAGAAACTTTCTTGTGAAGAGTTACTCTGAAGCAGCTGATCAATTAAGTCAAGTCTGTGGAATTTATGAAGAGTTGTATGGCTCATTATCTACCGAATTAGGGATGCCATATTTATTGTAAATATTATAAAATTATTAAATATATGCCTCTTTTAATTATCTTCTTATTTTTTAGATATGCAAAATCTTTGATTGCTTTAGCGTTGGATGAAAACAAAGTAATAGATGTACCCGATGAAGAAGAAGAGGATGGAGATGATGGTGATGGTGATGATGAAAGTGGTGAAAATGGCGAACAAAATGACACAGAAAATAAAACTGATGAAGCAGATTCTACTGCTGAAAACAGTAGTGGAAATAATGTTGTCGATAGTGCAGAAGCCAATAAGGAATCCATAGATGAAGCAATGGTGACCAGTACAGAAGAAGAAAAAATAACTGAAGAGAAAGATTTAACAAATGGTTCAGCCGATGCGACTGATAGTAAAAGTGCTGCAAGTGCTGCGCCTATAAAAGACAACGAAAAGCCCAGTACATCTAACGGTGAGACTGAAAATTGTGAAGACGAAGAGGATGATGCAGTGAGTATCTATTTTGGGAATATGTAAATTTGTACAATAAATGATATTAAATGTGTTTGATAATTGTGTTAGGCTTCGAATTTACAATTGGCATGGGAAATTCTTGAATTGGCAGCCAAAATATTTTCAGAGCAAGGTGCAAGTGGCCTATCCAACTTGGCTGAAGTTCAAACTGAACTAGCAAATATTGAATTCGAAAATAATATTTTAGATGCTGCACGTGATGATTACGGTGTGTATATTTAAGTAGTATTTACAATTTGTTATAAATATAAGTGTTTAACTTTTTTATATTTGAATATGAGCCTAATATTTTTATTTTTATAGGCAAAGCATTAAAAATATACTCAGAACTTCCAACAAATTATAGACGCGCAAAAGCTGAAATTCATTACAAAATCGGTTTAACATATTTAATGCAGCAACTTAATAAGGAAGGAGCTGAATCGCTTAAAGAGGCTTGTAAATTAATAGAAGAAGAAATTAAAGATATACAAGCAAAAACTGATATAAATGAGAAAGATAAAAACAACATACAAGATATGGAAGAAACGAAACAGGAAATTTGGGCGAAAATAGCTGAAATTGAAGAAACTCAAGCACAGGTAACTGATCCAATAAATAATATAATATTATTTATGTATATTAATACATTTCATATATTTAACCGTTTAGAATATTGCCGAAGTACGTGCAGCACTAGATAGCTATATAAAACCTGCACAAAATGGAAATGGGGCAGGTCCTTCTTCATCTAGTAATTCTGCAGACGCAGGTTCTTCTTCGGCAATAAGTTCTTCATCGAAACCAACAGATATTTCACATTTAATAAAACGTAAAAAACCCGATGATCCAAATTCGGAGGCTGAAGCAATTTCTTCTCCAGCTAAGAAGCCAGCAATATAAAACGCTGGTTAATTTAAAAATCAAAGGCTGCATTCCATTCACTTAAATAATTTATTTAAAACCAGCCTAGATCCAAGTTATCGCATTCATAACGTATATTCACTTGCGCTTGGTTATATAAATTTTATATATTTTAAAGTAATTAGAATTTTTATTTCACTTTTTACATAAGTTATAAACATTATCTTGAAATTGTATTTATTATATATTTAAATTAATTTTTTAAAAACGTTTTTCTAATTTTGGTTACCTTTTTTTAATTTTTAATTATGTTACTGAAAATATTTGCATTAATTTTTATTATTAATTTTTTCACATTTTTCAACATTATAACTACAGTCAATTACGTTATAATAAAATATTGTTTCGTAGTGTTTGCTATTATGCTTTTTGTTTATAACTAACGTCACATCATACATTAGATTATTAAATTTATAATATTCATTACTAGTAGTAAGAATAAATTTTATATAAATATAACATTAAATATTTTTTAATATACCAATCTTTTAATAAATAAGTTACTGAACAAATAATAAACGATTTCTGCTATTGTTTCTGCTAATACTAAGGAAAATCAAATTAGATCGTTTTAGTTTGTTTTCAAAAATATCTTGTAATCTCATACGCGTATCGACTTTTCAGGTAATTTAAGAAAATTATAAAGTACTATTCTTTATTTTTGAATAAATGTATATTGATGTTGCAATTATTATTTCAAGTAAATGCATTTTTTAGAACTATCAGGTCAGGTAACTACCGTGACTTGTTTATATTTTAAAATAATTGTTTTTGAACTTTTGGGCATTTGACGCTTCTTTAAGTTATTTGTTTATAATTTAAAAATGTTTTTACACGTATTTCAACGAATTTGTCTATATGTGTACTATTCTATTTATGATCTATTAATATTGTTATCGCCCTACAAGGTTTACCATACGTGCAAATACAAAAAACAATTAAAATTTTAAACTTAAATTAAATGAAAAATTAAAAAAGAGGATCATATAAGTTGTACCATACGTACTTAGATGGGGCTGCAATGTAGTCTGTGACTCACTATGTTGCCAATCGTTACGTTGTTCTTCTCCCCGGGCATTTTCCATTGAACCTGCTAAGTAATTGACACATGGCGGTGCACCACGCGGAAATTTTGGATTTCTTCGTAATTCTTGCAGTTCAGGCAATGGTAAGTCAATACACAAAGTCCAAATTCCTCCATGCATGGGCACTAGAAAAACCGATTCACGTCGGAAACGATGATCTGTGAATATAAAAAATGAAATTACAATCGTATTTAATGTGTTCGTAGGTCATATTAAGTTCTTCTCAATATCATGCCATGAGAGAACCCTTTATGGCACGGTCTATCACCTAAGGTAGATTGATTCTATTTTGACACCTAGGCACAATTCTTTTATAGCTGAAAGGGTTTATAAACTCAGGATCAACTTCCTCTTAAACAATGCTGCGTCTATCTTCCCTATTCTTTAAAATGTAACTATGCTTTTTGGTCATTCATACATTCAGATTTTCCTATCGCTGGTATTGCTAGGGGTCTGTCTTGAGTCCAATTTTCTCCATTTTGCCAAAAGTATTCATTTTTTTTCCAGATTAATGATTTTGTTTTGCCGATAATTGCCTTCCCTACAAGAACATTCAAATTACATGGTATTTCCTGTAACCTAAATTCTCACTTTATTGCCGTCACTAGGTACTATTTTACATGGATAAACAACTCAGGCAAGACCTCAGCTATTGCTATTCCTGTGGCGGAACCGCATTCGTAGTTCTCATATCGCTAATTGATCTTACGATTGATAGTTCTTCAATTCAGCTTGTCTACAAGCTCAAATACCTCAAATATTACCAGTTCCATCCCGGCATTAGTTTTTATGTTACCTATCACCCTCAAGGACAAAAACAAAAAAAATCCTACTAATTAAGATAAAAAGTAATATCTAGAATAAGTATAAATAGTTTATAAAGTCATAGATGTTTTAAAAATTCTGAAATAACAAAACCGACTTCAAAATATTTTCGACGTAACAACTCAACAACTCAAATTTAAAACAAAATTACATCTCGGTGTTGTGCTATCCTCCAACCACAGATTTATTACTCATGTAAAATAAGACATTCACAACGTCACTTTCGAAGCCAAACCTCTACACCAAAGTCCAGGTTGCTCGTATTGAAGATTACTGGTACTACATGGGTCAGTGCCAGCACCAGCACCTTCAGTTGTCCTGACCAATTGAGATTCGCAGCGTCTTGGCGGCTGTGGTTAAAACCCGAATTTACTGGCCTCACTCTCTGGCATGGGGGAAGTTATACCAAATACATAACTTCAGTTGGTGCCGGCGGAATTCTTTGGAATTTCAATGGATCGTCTACCGACGTATTATTTTAATACGTGTGTTTAGAACACCGTAGTGTCTGAAGGAATTTTATATGTATCATTCCACAGCAACCACACATAAGTTATATTATAAAATTTTGTCAGGATCAAAAACTAAAACAAGGAGCGATAACAAAGAAATGGTTTGTATTTTTTAAGCAATCATGCACATAAAAAAATAGATATTTGGACAAATTAATTTGTTAAAACCACATATTATATCTTAGTACCAAAAATGAAATATAAATATAATATAAATAGAAAGTTACACATATACATACCTAAGTTTAAGTTCGACTTACCCCTTTTATCTGCCTTAAGCATTGCAATTTTATCGTTCAGCATCCATTCTAAATGTAACCCAGATCGATTTGTATAACGATCCAAGCTGTCGCGATCCCACGTGACATGCTCCCAATGATCAGTCATTATTGCTGCGCAAAGCATTGCTGTAGCGCTGGTAGTCATCAGCAATGTGAAGAATAGAAAAAGTACCGGTGGTGGACCCATGCAACAACTAGTACAACATGTTGAACTGCCAACAGCACTGACTCCGTCCATAGCAGAAGTAATTGAGGTTGGTGTTTCAACAATGCCTCCACCAGTCTGTTGCATTATTTTTGTACAACTGCTATTACGCAGCAGTTTGCTATTACTTCGTCTTAGACTCTCAACTGCAGCTGCAGCAGCTGCTGTCGTCGCAGCTGTGGTTGGATCGAACTGTAGTGTACTACCAACCACTGCTGAAGGATGTTCATAAATGCTGTTATAAGAGTTTCGCGAAAAATAATAGCAGGTTGTTTGAGTTTGATTGTTGCCGCTGCTGCCGCCACCACCACCGTAGCTACCGCCGTAATCATTGATTGCTGTTGCTAGATCTTCATTACTTGAGTAGATAATAGATTGGGCAAATTGATTCGAGTAGCAGTTTTGTTTGAATGGTACACTTGTGGTAGCTACTGGTGGAGTGTAATATGTTGCAGAAGAGTGCTGAACTGGCTGCTGTTTTGTTGAAGCCTGTACATATAATGCTTCGTAGTCACAGTGATGTGGATTACGATATATCACAGGCCAGGAGCGAGTAGTCTTTGAATTGTGACTGTATGTGGTGGTCGTTGATGGGGCGGCGGCGTGCGCAGTAGCAACTGGTTGATAGGTGCTTATGACAATTGGTGAAGTTGCAGTATTAGTGGCGTTTGCACTCGTTGTTTTTTTTTTAGGAGAACTTTTCGTATTTGTGTTTGTCGATTGTAGAAAGCTTGTTTCTGCCAATTCAGATACTAGAGGTGTGAATTCTGTTGGCGGATTTTCTTCAATTGAATTAGTTGTTGGATTCGTTGTAACGGCTGTTGAATCTACTTCTTCTGTTGATGTTTCCTTAAATGAAACAGTTGTTGTCGGTGTAGTGGGTTTTGTATAATGTTGTGTTGCTTGTTGGCGTAGAAGAACATTTTTTGTCGGTACAACAATTGTTGTTGTTGCTGCTGCCGAATCCTCTGTAGTCAGCCTTAAAGGCGGCAAATGTTTTGTAATAATTTTTGTAGAATTTGGTGTTGGTGTATTTGCGTTTGTTGCTATGAGAATTGTTGTTGTCGGCACGGCTGTCAACTCATTAAAGTCCTCCTCCTCCACTAATGTTGCTCCTGATGAAAAAATGTTGTTAGTTTGTATACTGCGCACCAATGAATTTTTATTGTTACTATTTTTACTTTTGCTGTTGTTTTTGTTGCTGTTAGTACTCGTATTATTGTTACTATTGATGTAATATTTTTTGGACTGCTGTTGCTGTTGTTGATGATTTTGATTTTGTTCTTGTTCTTGTTGTTTTTTTGGTTCTGTGGATGATAATAATGTTGTTGGTGGTTTTGTTTGTAGTAACTGTTGTTGTGGTGTTAGTGGGGGAAATTGTAATTGTTTATAACGACCATCTATCGGCGATGTTATGTTTACTTCCGGCACACAGCGAGCAGTCACTTTATAACGACTGCCACTGCTGCCGCCGCCCTTAGTCCTTACAAGTCATAAGTCAATGTCGCGCTTTTTTATTTTGTTGGTGCTCATACTTTTGCCTGAACTCGTTATTGTTGTGATTGGTGTAGCGTATGATGTTGGTGTCAGTATTAATGTTGTTCCTGTACTCGTAAGTAGTTGTGTATCTGTGATTGTTTGTACAACTAAATTTGGTTCTTGGTGTATTTTGTTAATTTTAAAAATTGTTGTGCAGTTTTTAGGCTAAAGCAAAATAAATGCAAAAGGCTTTTGTACCTGATTGCTATTTTTGTTTCGAATATTTTTTTATTTTTTTTTTGTGTAACTGTAACTGTAACTGTAAATAACTGTATCAAAAATAACGAGTTAATACTAGTCAAGGTTGTGCGATTTACTAATTTTGTGCTGTAAAGTGCAAAATTAATCAGTGGCCAACTATATTCTAAAGTGTTTTCAATTGTTTTTGCATTTGTTGTTGTGTTTCTTTGATTAGCAGTAGTTGTAGTGGTAGTCGGAATGAGTTTTGCCCAATTTAAAATTTATTTTTGTATTATTAATTTAACTACGTATAAGCTTGAAGCTATAAAAAGAGAAAAATAATGAGAAATAGAGGAAAAAGAATAAATTATTCTCTGTGAAGTTATAGATTATGTATCTAATTAATTGAAGTACAAGTAAAAAGTTTTGTGCACATTAGCCTTATTTAATGATAACAACAACAATATGCTTGCTATTTAAGTGAAGCCGTTAATATTGTATATGTATTTAAATCTTAGCAAATAAAAAAGATTAAATATCTACTTTAACAAAGAAAGAATAACGTCCTATAAGGTCTGATTAAAATTCATTTTTAAGTTATAAAAAAGAGGGTAACATCATGTAACGAAATGTAATAGCAGAGATAGAAGTATCAAAGTCATGACACTGAAACTTAAACATATTGTAGGGCATAAACAATATTATAAACAATGTTATATATATTATAAAATTAAATATTATAAATATTATAAAATATTGTAAACAATATTTTAAGCATAAAAAATATAAGACATGATCATTTTTCAAAAAGTAGTAAAAATGTTATAAGGGTTTAAAGTTGGCCCAAATTTCGCGAAATCACAGTTTCGTTAAAAATGTATAAAAATGCGAATAATTTAAGAACCAATAAGTGGATCACCTTCATTTTTTTAGAGTTTTTATATATTCAATAAATTTACATAGTGTAATAGAAATAAAAACAATTTTTTAAAATAATAAAAAATTATTAGCGGCAATTTTTTGAATCCTATTGGTATAAATTTTATTTATATCAAATTTCATTCATCAACCTATTATGGTTTTTAAGATATTAAAAAACATTTATTATTTGGATTTGGAGATTTTAGCCATGAGGCTCAAAAGACAGCCCATCCTAAAAACTATATTTAAGAAAAATTTCTTTAGAATATTTTTAGTGGTTCAAAAAATACCGAATTTCGATCGACTAACTTTAATTCTGCGATACTGTGCGACAGCACTTACAAAATTTATGTGAAATCAAAATAATTTATTAAAAGACTACTAGAGTTAAAATAAATTACTTAAAAAAATATTTTATGGTTCTTTTTTCTGAATTTTAATATGAACTTAAGTTATAATTATTACTGCTATAACTGTTATATTTTATCTCCATATTTAATGATAAAGACAAGGACATACATATGTATTTGTTAATTAAAAATATCTCTTTTGTCCGTGTTTTCACAAGTATGTTAACTTCAGAAACACCTTTTGTAATTCATTGTTTACACTTCTATTGGATATATAATATAATTTAAACAAAAATAGTACAAATTTTGAAAACTGAAGGAGACAAATAAACCTGAGCTTGTTTATTTTCTATAAAGTTCTGAAGCAAACGAAACATGAGTTCAACTGTACTGATTAACTATGTTAGAAGCGATAAATTGAGGTCAAAGTTATCAAATTAAGTCAATAGAAAATTTATGAACCAATTTTATGTAGAATCCTAGTGGCAGCATTTGCAATTTCTGTACTAATACTTTTCGTTCAATTTAAATTTGTCCTTTGCCGTTTGTAGATACGAAAACAAATACTATTTTCCCAATTTTATTTTGATTTAAAATCATGTTTCAACTTGTTACAACGTGTTTGTCTATTTCCTTGTTTTCTCTACTTCCCTTTCCATCTTATTTTTTATTAACGCCTTTGACGACATCTTTGGAATAAATTTTGCTTGTCGAAAATCAAACCAAGAGACATAGAATATTTGGTTTTAACTTGATAACAAGGACACAAATGAATTTTCAAATTTAGTTCACATATTGTTTCCTTTCCTAAAGATTTTTTACACTATATTTAAGTTATTTATGCAAATGCGATTTCTGAAGGATTTTCAAAATGTTTGGTTCCAGTGATAAAATAAAGTTTTTTTATTTTTGACAAGTTCTTAATGTTTTTCAATTTTTATTATATACTATGAGATAAATCCTTATCACTATAAAATATTCCATTTTCTAGTCATAAATGCTATCAACAAAGATTGTAAGAAATGCCTTAAAAGTTAATGGCTACCCCAAAATATCATATAATTTTAAATCAAAATTTAATGACCTATTGTGAGCTACTATAAATACAAAATCAGTGTTAACCTTTCACATAATTTTACAAGTGAACTTTAGCTTGTGATAATTATTCTACCGTATATGTACATAGAGTCCTCTTCAAAAAATGTTTTCATAAATATAAATTAAAATTGTTTGATTAAAATTTGCTTAGCAAGGGAAAAATGTAGATTCGTCATTCACTTCTAATAAAGTGTGACATGTCCATTAATTCTAATTATTAAACCTACTTTGTAATATAAAATTTATCATATCCTCAAATATGAACAAAATGGCACATTCTCAGATTTTTTTCCATATAGTAAAAATTTGTTGAAATAGACACTCAACATCAGTTAAAATTTGAATTTTTAAATGCAGTATCTGGTAAGGTTATGTTGGAGTGGCGGCCTTGTGTACTAAGAAGCTCACTTGAGCTCGAATAATAGCTCGAATAATACCTTTAATGCCCCACTGGTGATATCATGACTAATTCCATTTTATTAAAATAGTACAGTTGTTTTTTGGTATACATATTTAAATATCACAAAGGTCCCACTAAGTGATCCACGTCTTTAGTTAAATGAGCTGCTATTGGTATCTACCATTTACAAAATAAGTAAATAGTAGATACAGATGACAGATATAAATGATAGACAATATATGCTGACATTGGGTGTGAAAAGAATACTAGAGTTATTCACATTTGCAATAATTATTTGAACTACAAAAATATTAAACCATCTTAAATAAATAACTTAAAGCGTTAAAACCATTTAGGATAAATAACAAATATAATATTAAGTATTTTAAAAAAGTGAATAGTTTTGGTACAGTCTTGTTTAAGTTTTAAATTAAGTAACACAAAATGTTTCGTATTTTATTTTCTAATACAAGAGAATGGTTCTTGTATTTCATAGAAATTCATGAACTAACATAAGTACATTTATACTTAACCAAGCACGCAATTATCTGCCTCTTAATTTATGGCTCATATCAATGACACTGAAGTTGGTTTTGTAACTAAGTCAATTTGACCAACTGTATTGATATTAAGGCAATTGCAATAATTTAATTTCCATGCCTTCACAATTGAGTAAAGCGCACGAAAACTGTAAGGATACCAAACAAAGCCACACAAATTCACACTTAGTTTTCGTCAGCCACATAAAGAAGTCGTGAATGTATTAGTAATAAAATTAACAAAAAAATCCAAAAAGGAAAAGGTCACTAGAGTCAATTCCATGGCATTAAAATTTAACTCCAATGACACAGCACAAATATTTAGGAGTACTTAAGTCAGGACAGCATGAATTGAGTATTTATATACATGAATTCATAAATATTATCCTCGGCATTAAGGCATACATTTTCTGGTAAGTACACTTAATTATCAATTACGTGACACTTGTACACTATGAATGCAGTCAAATAATTTTAGATTGGCGTATAAGTAGTTTCATTTTATTGCATAAATTTGTTAAAATTGTGTTTTACATAATTAAAGTTATAATATACTTTTTATTTAACCTATGAGAATTATCGATATATAATATATTATTTAAAATAAAAGTATTTTTTTGGTCGTAAATTTAGCATTACGAAGTCTGTAGGAAATAAAAAATATATAAAATTATAATATGTATAAATATACACAAAATTTTGTGTAAGAAATACAAAAAAAAAGATATTATTAGTCCATTTAAATGTTCCTAACATATGTATACATTATGCATTAATTAAAAAAAATTTGCTTCTCATTTTATCGATCCTATTCAAGTACAATTATAAATGTAAAATGAGATTTCACACGTATGCTGGCGTTCGACAATGAAGCCGCGATTAAATGTCACTCGCCTGTCACCATTTTATAAAAATATACAACTACAGAAAACAGAAACATCCGATCTTCAAGATATCGAGAAAGTAACTTGGTAAACGATTGTCATGGGGATTTCATCAACAACATACATTTCGAATATTATGTTATTCGGTTATTCGGCACTCGTTACTCGAGATCCTAAATACCACTATGAATATTAATTTGCAATAAATTGGAAATCCTTTTTTGACGTTTATTGATTTATGTCAAATAAAATTGATTAAATCATTCTTCTTTGTAATATATTAACAAATTTAGTTGTTTTTAATCTCATTATCAGATATCAGATAATGAGTATTGAACTAGAGAGATTTATCACTAACTTCAGAGGCTTGTATGAAAAAATTAGAAGGCAAGATTTAAATTTTTATCTAGACGAAATATTTGCAAAAGCGCCTGTAGAAATATATTTCTCGATGGAGCTGTCATATTGTAGAGAAAGAAGAGTACTTCAGCGAACTTTTAATAGGTAGAAATTAGTAATGGGTAGTGTTCTTAGACCCTATGAGCTGTTTTGAATTAAAGCTAGGTATCTGCAAGAGAAG